TTACAGATCTGGCTCATTTAAATGGCATGCAGACTTCTGACTCATCGCCTCTCAGGGAGGTATACTTCCAACTTCGAAGGAAACCTCTAATTTAAGTAGTCATCTAAAATTGTATATGCTTTAGATTGTGACAGACATAAACTGGCCAAGCATCATTTAGAGTAGTCATCTAATATTGTATATGCTTTAGATTGTGACAGACATAAACTGGCCAAGCATCATTTAGAGTAGTCATCTAATATTGTATATGCTTTAGATTGTGACAGACATAAACTGGCCAAGCATCATTTAGAGTAGTCATCTAATATTGTATATGCTTTAGATTGTGACAGACATAAACTGGCCAAGCATCATTTCGAGTAGTCATCTAATATTGTATATGCTTTAGATTGTGACAGACATAAACTGGCCAAGCATCATTTCGAGTAGTCATCTAAAGTGGGGAGGCAATGTGTCTATTCTTTCCTCCCCTACAATGGTTCTCTGGAACACACATGGGGGTTACAAATATGAACATCAGTAGCTTAACTATCGTCATTTATTTATTTATAAAATATATGTACAGTACAGTTGAGTACACAATCCAAGTTTAGTACTATACTATAGTACTTAAGTCTACAAATCTACAGAGTACTGCATACTATATACACCAAACGTTCACTTCTTCTTTCACTTTCGTTCGCTTGAAATATATTATCTATATCTCTATATCTGCAATGGTGTCTCTAGTATGAACTTCAATGTCTTTTGTAATTCACTCAGCGACCGGTAAAGTTCGTGGCTTGGACTGATGTTTCTCTTGGCCAACAGTTTTGCCTTGATATGTCAAACCAAAATTCACAACAATGATGCCCTCGTTTTGAAAACACACATCTTATAAAAATGGGAGAAGGGCAATTTAACGACACAATACATCCCTAATTAACGAACATTTGCTAAAACAGGTAAAGAAACGGATTATAAACAGCATGTTCATTCCAACATTAAGCTTACGGTGCCAAACACGGACACTATCTTAATAGCATTTACGCAAATCATCATGCATCAGGAGATGCCTGAAAAAAGCCGCTAACTTAACTCTCCGAGATCGAGTGAATTGATACTTTCAGACAAATTGTGGATTCATCGAGAAACAGCAGATCAAGTGGTTTGACCGCATCTCGATAGAATGCAGGAAGATCAAATACCGTCACAAGATTTGTAATATGGATGTACACGCAGCACTCAGGTTCTGGAACACGACTAACGACCAGAGGTGGACAAACAACCAGAAGTTTCCGGTAGAGTTTACGACCAGTGAACGCGAAGAAGAAGATATCTTGCTGTAACTCAACAATGCCACCCTCCATTCAGCACGTACTATTCCGAAAACTGATCATTAACCGTGCCTGTGACGAATATCAGTATTAAGCAGCGACAAACAGACAGAATGAACGAACGAACTTTATTTTCAAAGGATCACAAATCGGGCACGCAGGCCCGTCTTACATTCGGCCCTTCCAAACACTCGTCTTTCACACTGCAGCTGTATTTTATCAAAAAGCATGTTATATTCATATGATAATATGCATATAAAAAAAAATAAGTACACAATAGCGCACGCACACAAACACATCCACCCACTCACTTAAACACACCCACATACCTTCACACACACATAAATACACCCTCATTCACCCACATACATACCTACATACCCACACGCACACACAGACACACCCAGAAACAAATGCAGACAAAAAGACATACGCGAACAGACCCAATCACACACGCAGATACACAGACACACACATGCGTCACACACACACAAACCGGCATACACACACATGCAGACTTACACACGCGGACAGACACAGATGCACAAACACACAGATACACGCACACATATACACTCGGAGACACAAACACACACATAATCGCAGACATACACACACACCACACGTTGATGCTCACGCAGGCACATCCACACAGACACATACGCGGAAGCACGCGCAGACATTCATACACACAGGCACATACACAGATATACGCAGACACACACTCACAGACACATACGCAGACATACATATACACAGGCACACACACACACATAAACTCATAAACTCTCGCAGACACACATGTAGACACACCCAAAGACACTACACACAGACACACACACTGAGACAAACACACACAGAGACATACACAGAAATGTTCACACAGAGACGCGCATATACACACAGGCTCATACAAAGACACACACACAAACACAACAAAGACACACAAATTCAAACACACACGCAGGCAAACACACAGCCACATACACGTAAAACACACAGACAAGCAAACACACGCACAGACATATGTAGACATATACACACAAATACACATACAGACACATACACACAGTCCTACACTCAGACACACACGCACAAACACACATAGATACATATACAAAAATACACACCCACATAATACAATACAAACACACGCAGACACATACACAGAAACGCACAGGCAGGCATGCACACGTAGACACATATACATGCATACGCACACACAGAATATACAAACAGATTCACACACATAGACATATACACCACAGACACACATAGACATATACACACACACGCACACGCCAACCCACTCACTTAAACACGCATATCTACACGCCCACATACCTACACACACATAAACACATCCCATTCACTCACATATATACCTACCTACCCACACAAACAGGCACATTCCACACACATACATACATAGAGATACACACATGCACACACAAACACACCCATAGAAACAAACGCAGACACACACACAAACAGACACCCGTGCAGACACAAACACACATACACTTATATGCGACACACACAAAAACCCTCAGACTCACAC